ACTCCAGAGCACAGAGGGTGACGGGGCTCTGCATCAGGAGGGGCCGCTTGTCACTGAGAGCCAGGACGTTGGGGCTTTTGTGCTAGATGATTTTCTGGCTCAGCAGCGTGTGACGGAAGCCACTTTTCCTCCCCCTCCCTGCTCTCCACCACGGGCTCACCTTTCTGAGTGGTGACTTCAAAGATCTCCGAGCTCTCGCCTGGGTTGAAATGCCTGAAGTAGGAACAGTTTTTCTCTGCAAAGGAGGGAGACAGCCTATGAATTGAGAGAAAGGGCCTGCAGCTGGGGCAGGAGCTTGGCCAAGAGAAGGTGGGTGTGATCCCCCTGGAGCGAGCATGAACGGTGCTTCTGGTTGGTTCTCGGCTCCCCAAACCCTGACTCTGGGCTGAAACAAATGTCTTTCTCTAACCCTTACACCAAAATTTCAGTAGGAAAGGGGGTTGTGTAAGAGGCCAGGAGCTGAGGCTTTGAGTCCACTGTGGGTACTGAGCCCATTAGGCAGATAGGGGAACTGAGGCCCAGAGCTCAAGTTGTATTTTAGCGGGTGCAGGACATGTGGTCAACCAAGGGCCAAACAGTGATTCTCAGCTGGAGCTGATTCTGCCCCCAAGGTGCCCTGGGCAATGTCTGGAGACATTTTTGGTGTCACATCTGTGCAGGATGCTGCAGGCATCTAGGGAGTGGGGCCCCAGGAGGCTGCTGGAGATCCTACAGTGCACAGGACAGCCCCTACAACATAGAATTATCAGTAGTGCTGAGGCAGAGAAACTGTGGATTCCATCCAATCGAGAGCTGAGTTTCTTATCAGCATCCAGACCCACCCTGAGGCCCTGGGTGTGACCTGGAAAGCGAACAGTGCTTTTCAAAAACTTTCCAGGAGATTCTGATGCTCTGCCAGGTTGAGCAGCCTGGCTCCAGGCCCCCTTAAAATGCCCCAAAGTGGGCTTTTCTAGGCGGACCATCTAGATGGACTTGGGTGCATGGTAGAGAACTTTTAATCAAGGGCCAAATGTGTCCATCAAATCATTTCATTAGGCCCTCGACACCTGTGTCCACACGTGCAGCCCAGCTAAGACCTCCCCAGGTGAGCTGCTTGGCCCACCTGACTAGTGTCAGAAAAGCCATAGTTGATCTGCGTGGCACTAGGACCAAAAGTCTGGATTTGATGGGGAGGTGGGGCAGAGGGAAGGACTCAGAACAAAAAAATTCACACTGATTTTCAATATAATTTCTCTTCTGTTTTTTCCTCCTTTAATCTCTTTTGTAATCAGGCATACTATAAAAATCAAAGGATAGTCTTATTGCTTATTAAATACAGTTTAATATTCTTTACTCCTGATTTAGAAAGTAGATGAATGGGTTATTGGATGCTATTTTGCTTTCTTAAGAAAAAACTAAATTAGGTTGCTTTTTATTTGTGTGAGGCCCTTCATTGAATTCTCTCTTTCCGGTGGCTCCTTGAACCTCAGTAGGACATCTCCACTCCTAGTTTAGAGGGCACCTAGTTTGTGCATTCATTTCTTCACCTTCAGCCTACATTTAAGTTGTCCCCAGGTGAGTGATGCCTCGTTTCTTTTGAAAACACACCCGAGGGGCTGCTAAAGTCAGAGCTTTCACTGAGGAGCCGGCTTCCTTCTATCTGACCCGTATCACCTTCTTGCCACTTAAGCCCGTGGCCTCCCACTCTCTCACCCTCGCCCAGTGTCAGGGTTCCTGTCGCTCCCCCAGTGGAGAAGGAAAATGACCCCAGTAGACGGAGCCTGGTTTGGCGGCAGGAAATGTTCCATGAGGTAAACAGCCCTCTCTTTGAGCTTCTATATTTAAATCACTTTCCTTTTGAACCAAGGTACCTGGGGTGCCTGACTGCCGCTGGTGATGTCAGACTTGCTGCTGCTTCTCCCTCGCAGCTTCTGGTGCTATTTTAAAGCATAATGCAACCCTCTTATATTTGTTAGATTATTAACTATAGATTCTCTTAAATCCCTGCTTCAAAATGGCCTGTGCGACGTCGCAGGTCTCCAAGTGTCTCCCTCTGGACAAAGGAACGATTTCTGTCTCATTCTTTAAGGGCCAATTTCGGTTGTCAGTGAAAACCTTCTGAAAAGAATTGACTGAATTCAAGTGTATTTCACGGTCAGCTGCCTCCTGACTGCTTGCAAACCGTTGAGTTAAAAGCCTCTGGAGCAGAGGGCCTGGAGATGAAGGCCGGCCCAGGGCCTGGGCAAGGCCCAGCCGCCTGGCAGTTCTGCGTGGCTGAGGCGCGTCCAGCACAGGTAGCGTCTGGGTTGTCAGCCCCCACCCGGCTCCATTCTGGACAGGCCGCTGCCGCTGGGTCCTGGCATGAAAACTGCCTTAGCTCAGGCCACAGCGGGAGGCTGCATGCCTGCAGAAGCCAGTCTGCAGATTCTGGAGGGATTTTTCCCCTCGGTGGCTCCCCTCCCTCCCCTTCCCTATTAAATGCTTTCACACATGGGGGCTGGGGTGGAGGGAGCCCAGTAGGTGGGGCTCCCACTCAGGGCATCTGGAAGTCTCAGCTTTTCTTTGACGTGCTGAACTGAGGATGGATGGACCGACCTCGTCCCCTCTCTTGGACTTAGCACATGAGGAAGGCCACTGTCTTCTGCACTGGACCAGGAGAAACGTCCACTCTGTGGCTGCCCACTGGACACTACACGCCCCTTTGTGGTCCCTGATGGCCTCAGCGTGGGCTGTCAGACATGGCCAGTACCCACAGAATGCTCATTCAGGATAAATCAGTTCGGGCATCTGCCAGTGTCACTCAAGAATTGCCCAGGGTCCTGTGGAGAGGGGCAGATCCCGGGGCCCTGCCCCTTTGTCTGGGCAAACTGAGCATCAGGGGCAGCTTGAAAAGGGAGGACATTTGAGATGGGCCCTGTATGGGCCACTCAGTCACTTAGTCATGGGTAGGGGGCTTGGAGGGGAGGGCAGGTGACGGTTCTGTGCAGACTGTGCAGATTCTGATGCCCCTCTCTGCCTCTCTGATGCCCCTCCATGCTCCCCCTGCCTGGCCTCCATCCTACTTGCACAAAGCTCAGGACTTGCAGCTTTGCCTTGCTGATCTCCAGCCCCTTACTGCATAGAGGAAGCAAGAGCTTTGGACCAAGTCAGCAGAGATACCCAAGCCAGGGTGAATGATGATCTGGGACCATAATTAGGAACTCTGAGGTTCCCCAGCCTCCTTTGTCTCTGCAAATGACTCACAGTAATTTTAATATTTGTATTTCTTTTTTTCCCCTGTATTTCAGAAATGTCCTACCAAGACTCAGTGGTCTAAAAACTTTAAGTTGGTTATTCTTTAAAAAAAATATGGTGAACTCAGTTATGGGGCTTGACTGGGGTTGGAGCATTCAGGCTAACCAAATACTCTAAGAGAGGGACTATCTATGCAGAACCATATCTGTGCCAGTTTCAAAGAACTAGAACAGAAGGCACATTTAACTCCAAGCTGAACTTGAGTTAATATAGATCTTTCTCTGATAGTTGGAACAGCTTGTATGATTAAGGGATGCCTCTGGGTTATCACTGAGAATGTATCACTGTATTCAATGCTGGTGGATGCAGACTTTGATATATTTTAAAATGCCTTGTTGATTTGCACAAAACCCAGAGAACAAGTGCTGTAAGAGTTGGAAGAAATGTTCCACCCACTTGTTACTTGCATCGATGCCAGGGTTGTCTTCACCCGTTTTTTTGTAGAAGAAGTTCTTGATGTTCCTGATAGTGGTTTCTCTGTGCTGTCCACCCCCACCCCTCTGAGTGAAGACTTTTATAAAATGGGCTGGAGAAATCCTCGGGACCTGACCCCAGAGCTTCAGAGCATTGCTGTTGTACGGGGGACAAGCCTAGTTATGGCTGGAGTCTCCGGCACGGACTCCTCTGGATGGGAAAAGGGGCATCTGAAATTCTTGGGTCACTAGCATCATGTTCTTTCACATGGCCCCAGTCCCTGCTCCGAGCACTGGAAGAGAAGATGGGCCACTAGGGAAACTGGGCACTGGGGCAGGCTGCTGCCTTGCGCTAAAGAGGCAGAGCCTGAAAGAAACGACGTTCCACCTGGACCAAGGGCAAGAGATGACCTTTCTGGGAATTCACTTCGACCTTCAGAAAGACAGCTACTTCTGACAGCTGGGGAATCCCCTGCTCTCATTCTGGAGACATTGAAGTTGACCTCAGATGTAGATGCTGTGCGTGGCAGCCCTTCTGGGACTCTTGGTCGGTAAAAAGAACCAAATCAGACAGTTGGTGTTCTCAGAGCCTCCAGCATTCATGGCTGAATGAGACCTTGAAACTCTCCTCTACTGCACCAGCTATTGCAACAGCTCTAAACCATGTCATGTCAAAAGCTGGTCTCTGATGTGTTTGCCTGGCTCAGCAGCTTCTGGGAGTGGTGTTCGTATGTACAGCGGAGGGTTATGGGAAGGGACCGGAGAGGAAAGAGGCTCTGGATTTGAAATGTGGGTGTTGAACTTCTACTTGTTAGATGGCTGGCCTTCGGAAGGCCACTCTGAGCCTCAGTTTTCCCTCATGGAGAAGGAGAACCTCCTGTAGAATCAGAGCCTCCTCATGGGGTTGTTGTAAAGTAGCATAATGTAGCAACTAAGGTGAATTTTAGGGGTGCGAGTCCTGGCTGTTCTGCCGTGGCCATTGTGTGACCTTGGTCAAATGACTTAACTTCTCTGTGCCTCGTTTTCTTTATCTGCAAGATTGGATGATGATAATAGTATGGAGCTCCTAGAGGATTTTGTGAGGATTATATATGACTATATATATAAAACATCCCACTGCCTTCTGGCCTCCGTGGAAAGATAAACTATTTAATCTTATTAAGAATTCCTTGTATGTAATGAGTCACTTCTTGCTACTTATGAAATTCTCTGTCTTTATCTTTCAGTGGTTTGATTATGATGTGCCAGGTATGGATTTATCCCATTTGGAGTCCATTAAGCTTCATGGATTTGTGGATTAATGTTTTTCATCAAATTTGAGGAACTTTCAGTCGTTATTTTTCACATATCCTTTCTTCTTCTCTCTCTCTCTTTCACTCCTCTTTTTCTGAGACTGCCATTATGCCTAGGTTGGTAAATTTGATACTGTCCCACAGGTCTCTGAGGCTCTGTTTATTTTTCTTCATTCTTTTTTCCCTGTCTGTTCCTCAGATTAGCTAATCTGACTTGAACTATCTTCAAGTTCACTGATTCTTTCCCCTGTCTGCTTGGATCTATTACTGACCCCATCTAGTGAGTTTTTCATTTCAGTTATTGTACCTCACGACTCTGGAGTTTCTATTAGGTCTTTAAAAAATAATTTCTATCTCTTTATTGATATTCTCCATTTTTTGAACTGTGATTCTAATCTTTATTTTAGTTTTTTAGACATGATTTCTTTCAGTTCTTTGTATCTAAAATAGCTGATTCAAAGTCCTTATCTAGTAAGCTCGATATCTGGGCTTCCTTAAGGATCTGTTGGCTGCACCCTCCCCCGCCCCATATATGGGCCACATTTTAAAAAATTCTTTGCATGTCTTGTAACTTTTTCAATTTAAAATTTAAAACTGGATACTTAAAATAATATAATGCAACAAACTCTGGAAATCCGATTTCCACTCTTCCTCAGGGTTTGTTTCTGTGCCTCTTTGTTATTGTTGCCTGTTGAGTGACATTTCTGAATTAAGTTTGTAAAGTCTGTATTCTTCATCATGTGTGGCCACTGAGATCTCTGCGCAGTTAGATTTCCTAAAATGCTTGGAACCAATACATCTCCCAGTCTTTACTGAGGGGGGCTCTGTGCTAAGTGCTAAGTAAAGAGCTAAGCACTCAGCTGAGTAGTCTATATTTCTGCCTAAGCCTTCAGTTTTTTTGTTTTTGTTTTTTTACCACACAGCTCAAGATAAGCCAGAGATAAAAGTTCTGGGCCTTCTCAGATCTTTCCTGTGCACACATATAGCACTGTGGATGCACATGGCCTCTTAAATTCCCAGAAGTATGCTAAAGCTTTTCAAAGCCTCCCATTCCCATTCTCCAGCTTTTTTTGGTTAGCCTGTTGTTTGCCCTAATTGTTATCTACTGCCTTAGTCAGTCACAGTATTAAACAATTGCTTCTAATTGTTTTTGACAAATGCCTCTTGGGAAAAAAGACTGCTTCCACTGGATGAGCTCAGAGTCAGGTCGAATAAAGGCAGTCTTGCAGGTGGGGACTTCCAGGGAACCACCAGACAGATTAAATAATGATAGTTCTCTGGGAATGAGGCTTTGAAAGAGATCCCGTCCTGTTCTGTCCTCTCTGGTGGCTACCGTGCTGCTGGGTTTCAGTGTGATGGCAGGCTGTTGGTTTTCAAGTCTATCACGGAGCTGGGGAGGGGAGAATTGGATTAGGGCAAGTTCGGGTACCACGAAACTCACTGTAGTTACTTAGATTCACCCATTTTTCTTGAATAAGCACTTGCTGGATTGCTGCAAGCCTGGTTAACTTGAGAGTTCTGAAAAAGTTTATTCTGACCATTTTGGCCACTGTGCTCATTGGTTTTTTTGGAGAAGAGGATATTTAAAGGTTCTTACTCTGTCCTTCTTTATTTTTGATGTCATCTAAAGTTATGTACATAAGGCACTTAAAACAATGTCTGGCAGACGGTGCTATATTTGTATTTGTGGTTGTTGGTGGTGTTAATAAACAAGAGAACATACATTCTTCCTTCCAGAAAAGAGAGATCTCACAGAGCACAGGAAAGTTGGATGGGACAGGAAAAACGTGTCCACTGGCAGAGAAAGGAGAGGGAAGAAGGCAGGAACACACTGGAAGCTTGTTGTGGGTAAGGCAGTGCCATAGGTATGGAAGGTAGGATCCACTCTGGACCAGGATAAGACGGCATAGAGATAGACTCTGCTCAGGCTCAAGGCCAAGCCATGCCTGCTCATCCCCTGTGGCTGGCCCAGTCGCCTCCCACCAGTCTGTCTCTCCTTGTATAGACTCACCTCACTTCCCTGCTCATCTGCTCTGAAAAATCACCAGGCTTTAAAAGGCAGGTGCCAAGGACAGGTGGGCAGGCCCATTACAGTGTGTTCCCATGCATGGTACCTGGAGAATCTGCCCAGCCCTGCCCCACCCCGTCCCCGGGGAGAGCTGGGTTGGCTGGATGCTGCGTCTGTTTATGGGTGTGCTCAGCCGTGGCTGAGGGGCGTGGGCGTCTGGGCTATATGATACCCTTCAAGCACATGGCCATGCCTATTAAACCCCCCAGGCCTGGGACTCAGTGTTTCCAAGACAGCTGGGTATTTACGAGTCTTCTGAGCGTCTAGTGTGTGAGCAAGGCAGGCATTTCCTGGAGCCAGCAGGAAGGGAAGGAAGAGGAAGGACAGAAATGGGAGGAATGGGGTTTGGGCTACTTTGTCCCCTACATGCTGCAAGATCTTTGGGGACTTAGCCATGGCTTCCTTAAAGGGCAAGTGTCAAGGAACACCCAGTCTCATAACAGAGGGAATAATTCTGAAAACCAGATGGGATGCCACACTCACCCTGGTCCACTGCCACCTTGGAGTGACATTTGTAAGCACTGGAAGGGACTTGATGTTGCTGAGCCCAAGCACTGTATTTCACAGGAAGAAGCAGAGGCTGTGATGGGCTTTGTCGACCCCCCAGAGTCACTTAGAGCGGGTTGTGGGCAAGGCCGGAGCAGAGCCCAGCCTCTGATTTCCCACTCAAGGCTCAGCACATGCTCCATTTGCTATGAATGCGGAGGGCTCCACGCTTGCAGAATAGACCAGTCACCTTAATACCAGGTGTTCTTGACAAAGAACCTCACCCTCCATGGGTGGTTCACGCACGTGGTAGGAATTCCAGGAAGGCATGTAAATCATAGTGGAAGGAAATGCTTTCTAATTCCGAAGGGGTCCTAGCTAAGGGAGGATGTGCAGAAGGACCCACAGTGCTGACAAAGTCAGGTGGCTCATCTCCAGCCAGGTCCTGCCTCACATGTGACTGGTGCTGTGGCTCAAGGCCCGGCTCCCTGGAGGGAGTCTCCCCTTGGTTTGGTGCTCTGCCCTTGCCGACTGGAAATTCTTAATAGTAATACCAAGGAGTACTGCGTTTTCATTCTGCACAGGGCCCTGTAAATTCTCTAGCAGATCCTGTCTACACCCCAGCCTGGAGGCTAGAGAATGACCCACCTCCCCGGGCCCAGGGGTCCCTGCCACCTGAGGACACGAGGCCTATCTTCAGGGAGAGGAGCCAGGCACGCCCCAAAGCCCTTGTCTGGTAGATCCATGGTCTCTTTCTTGAGCCTCCTGCCCACCCATCCAGACCTCTGCTCTGGGTGAAGAGCCCCGAGCCCCAGCAAGACAGAAGTAGCTGGAGACAAAGGTGCTCATTTTACAACCCGGCTCTGGCCAGCAGCACCACCACATGCAACTCAGATCCTCTTCCCCCGGGTGTGGAGGGCCGGGCCCAGCTCTGTTCTGACGCAGAGACTCCTGCCCTCTTTCCCACAGACAACTTTTCCCCAGGGACGGGAAGGGCAGGAGGCAGGGATAGGGGACAGAGAAGGGTACGTTACCCCCAGGCAGGGTGATGGGTCCGCAGCTCTTGTCCTTGCTGTGGCCGACGAAGATCCGCTTGGTGCAAATCCGCCAGAGGCCAAAGTGGGCCGCCTCGCAGGTGGCATTGAGGTGCTCCACGTGGGGGCTCAGCACGGCCCAGTGGTCGGTCACCACGGCCACCAAGGCCAGTGCAATACCCACCAGGATGCAGAAGAGGGTCACACGGACCTTCAGTGCTTTGGTCTGGGACATGGTGGTCACGGAGGGGTGGGTGCTCGGGGCAGTGTCCTCCCAGGCAGGTGGCGGCTGGGCTGGGGTGGCAGCAGTAGTTATCGAGCCAGGAAGCTAAGTTTAGTGTGCCCGGCCGCGCCAGAGTGGGCTGGCCTTGGGCTGAGGGACACTGGACGGGGCTGAGCAGCTGCCCAGACGTGTCAGGGGCCTGAGGGAGGCTTCTATTAATGCACTTCTCCAGGCGAAGCCTCGAGAACAGCGTCTCCTCGGGTTTCAGGTTTTCTTCCCCTCCTGGAGGCAGAAATAGGCTAGGGTGGGGCAAGGAGAGAAGGCTCTAGATGGAGACTGGAGACCGTCCATGGAACGGCAGCACAGGGTACCCGAGTTGGGAGGGGGCAAGGGGCAGGCAGCGGGGACGCCAGGTGTGCAGGCATCTTCCTGCTCCGGGCGGAAGGGCAGGGACCCGGGAGGACGCAGGCTGCGTAGCCTCTGTCCTAACACTGGGCAGGCCGGTCACCAGGGCAGGGTGAATGTCCCCTGGGGTCTGGGATCCAGGAGCCTGCCAAGGGACATCTCAGGGATGCCCCGCCCAGGGCCCCTGGACCCGACTGCCCAGGCAAGCGCTTTAGACCAGAACCCCACCCCGTCCCTCAAACTGCAGGAAGATTTCCTGTGGTTCCTGGGCCTGGCATCACCCAACACTGTGCCCAGCATGAGAACGTATTTCCTTTTCAGTTCCCTTCTCATCCCTCCAGCACCTTTCTGATGCCTGTGAATCAAAGAATAGCCTGGCAAGGACCAAAAATCCAGCTGGATTTGACTGTAGTTCTGTTCTCATTATACCGTTTTAGTTTTACCTTCTATTAATGGCAGGTAATAAGGATTTTCTGATTATATTGTCATTTACAAAAGAAATATACTTACATAAAAAAGAGCAGAAATAGGCTGATTTCTGTGACTATTAAGACAGGTGACTATTAAGAGGTTAATGGGTGCATGGATACAGCAGAGGCATATGGGAGTTTGAGACCACTGTGTGAGGGTCCTGCCTACCCCCATGCACGCCCCCCTCCCCACTCCCCAGGCGAGTACTCCAGGCTGGGAACCCCTCTACCCCTCCAGGTTCTGTATTGCCTTTCTCAGTTCACCAGGGGCCTCTTTTGTGATGTATCCAAGAGGCTGATGCATGGCCAGAAATAGACCCCTGAGCTGGGCAGGGCTTTGGCCTTTAAAATCCTGGCTTCAGGTTGACACGGCTTACAGAAGGGCTGCCTGAGTAGGGAGAAACACTCAGGGGTCCAGCCTTGGAATCTCAGACTGTTAATTAATAACAATGACCATAGTAAGAGCTCAACTTCCGGGAGTGCTTACTATCTGCCAGGCATTCTGCTGAGCCTTTCCCCATCATTGGAGCTAATCTTCACACCAATCCATGAGGTCAGTACAACTATTACTCCCATTTTACAGATAAAGACACAGAGGCTCAGAGACATGAAGGAGCTTGTCCGAGGTCACCCAGCAGGTAAATGGTGAAACCAGGTTTCAGAACCCAG